TTGTAAACATGTAGACACATGTGGCTGGTGGCTGTCCTACCAGACAATACAGAGGAGCCAGCGGTGCCCGAGGCAGATCCAGGCCTGGCCCGAGAGAGCATCCGGTCTAGTTCAGGACACAGGAGAACAGCAGGGAGGAAATGAGCCAATGAGACACTTTCCAGTGTGACGAGTGTGAAGGGTATCAAACTGGAGAGGGTCTGTTTGCAGGGAGTGGCCAGGGAGGACTTCCTGGTGGAGGTGGCCTGCAACTCAACCTTCCAGGACTCTTTTTGCAGTGGCTAATGCACTAGCTTGGATACTGTTCCTCAAAATTCACATCTCCCTGAAACCTCACAACATGACCTTATTTAGAAATAAGATCTTTGCAGATGTAGTGCGTTAAGGTGAGGCCCTGCTGGAGCAGGGTGGGCCCTGACTCTGTGACTGGTGTCATTATAAGAAGAGACACTGACAGACAGACACAGAGGACAGGCAGCCACGTGACAGCAGAGGCAGAGCTCAGAGTGTGCAGCGACATGTTGAGGAAGGGCCAGGACGGCCATTGACTACTAGAAGCTGGCAGAGACGAGGGGAGACCCTTCCCCAGAGCCTCCAGAGGGAGTGCAGGCTGCCGGCACCTTGATTTCAGACCCTGGTCTCCAGAAGGAGCGCTGGTGGTGCAGTGGTTAGAGCGCTCAGCTGCAAACTGCAAAAATGAGTTACAGGCTGCATCTTCTGACCTCCTCTAACTTCACAAGAGGAAGACAGAATCTCCATCAGCAGCCTAAGGCTGATTCCTATGAGGCCAGGCATGTCACCACCCTCCAGCCTTTTACCAATTCTGACACCAACCATCCCTTCCACGGCACTCACTGCTTCTCTGCCGGGTTCCATAATTCGTTGCAATGGCCACGCAGAACTCACAGACAATACTCATGATTATGGGGTTTATTAGGGAAGTAACAGGCTACAATTCAGGTTCAGGAACCTGCTCAGGACCCAGTTCTTCCATCAGGACAGTCTCCCCTCTGCTGTGCTCTCAGACACGCTTCTCTGGCCCTCGGCCTCTGCTTCTGTGGGCCAGGTAACCCTGCTGCTCTGCGCCACGTCTCTTAGTTCCAGCACCACCATCCGTCTGCCGGGGTGTCTCTCTGCCCGGTGTCCCTCAGCCGAGGAGGCCCAGTGCAGGGATCTTGGGTCCCAGGATGCGCTCCCCTTCACCTCCAGCTCTTCTCCCTTGATGGCAGTGAGATCCCCTCTCTGCCTCTAGGAGGGCTCATTTTAAGCCAGGCAGTGACACAACTAACCAATGCCAACATCAGAGTTCTACACATCTTATTTGCATGGTCCCACCCAATAATCTGGTGGGAGTTGTAAAGACCATGGCTAGAAAAGCCATACCAAGTCATTCACTGCACTGCACTCACCAAAAGGTCACAGTGCAAACCCACCAGCTGCTCCACAGGAGAAAGAAGAGGCAGTTGGCTTCGGAAAAAGCTGCACAACCCAGGACACCCTCTGGGGCAGTTCCTCTGTCCTCCAGGGGCGCTGTGGTCAGAGTGGACTCCATGGCAGTGAGTTCGGTTTGGGCTTTGCTTCTGCAAAGACTGACAGCCTAGAAGTCCCTGTGGGGCAGTTCCACTCTGTCCTCTAGGGGCGCTGTGAGTTGGAATCAACTCCATGGCAGTGGGTGTGGTTTGGGCTTTGCTTCTGTGAAGATTGACAGCCTGGGAAACCCTGTGGGGCTGTTCCACTCTGTCCTTTAGGGGCGCTGTGAGTCAGAATCAACTCCATGGCAGTGGGCTTGCTTCTGTAAAGATTGACAGCCTTGAGGCCATTCAACTCTGTCCTCCTGGGTCGCTATGAGTTGGAGCGACTTGGAGGCACTTGACAACGCAGGTAGAACGGCGTTTGCCAATAGATGTGGTTAGTCCTAAATCCTGGACCTGTGACTGCGTTCACCAAAACAGGTTCTTTTTTGAAGATGTGTCCAGTTCCCATGAAGTCGTATCAGACTATGAAGTCATACCTAATACCTTTAGACCGGCCTTTTACAAAAGGAAGGAACAAACACAGAAACAGTCCCCCACACAAATCAACCCAGTGCCCTGCCATTGATTCCAAGTCACAGCAACTCTGTGGGTTACAGAGTAGAACTTCACTCCGTAGGGCTTTTTTGGTGGGAATCTTTGATGGAAACAGATAGTCAGGCCTTTCTTCCACCGCAACACCAGGTAGATTAGAACTACCAGCCTTTAGCTTAGTAATGAAGCACAGATACTTTTCACTACCCTGGGCCCTTCAGGGGAGCTCTGGTGGCGCAGTGTCTATGGCATCTGACTGCTAACCAGAAGGCTGGTGGTTCAAACCCACCAGCCACTCTTCCGGAGGAAGATTGGGAAATCTACTTCTGTAGTGATAACCCCTCAGAAACCCCAGGAGGGGTCGCTATGAGTCCGGAATGAGTCCAGGGCAGTGGATTTGATTTTTTGGTTTGGGGGCCTTCAGAATCTAACAGGATGAGACTGTATGTGAAGATGCAGCTAACTGCCAAGGAATGTCAAGAAATGCCCAGGGCTACAAGAAGCTGCAGGAGACAGAACAGACCCTCCCCTAGACCAGATGGAGGGAACACAGTCCTGCCAAGATCTTCATTTCCAACTTCTGGTCTCCAGAACTGTGTGAGAATACATTCCTGGGCTTATAAGCCTCCCCCTTTGCGGTACTCTGAGACCTTCTCCCGGCCTGGCCTGCCGTCCTCTTCTGTCCAACCAGGCAGAGCCCTCACTCCAACACAAAGGAGGAAAGAAGCCCGAGTTGGAACTAATTGCTGCAGGTGTTGCACATCAGTTTCTCTCCTAGAGGCTGTGGAGTTTTGCAGTTCACACTTTGGTCTGTGATGCATTTTGACTTACTTTTCACAAAGGTGGGAAGTCTTGTGTCAAGATTCAATTTCTTGCACGTGGGTGTCCAGTTTCAGCATCATTTGTTGGAAACCTCAACAACTTAATGCTAAATCTAACCCTAAATGCATACGAATCTAGCACTAATGAGTAGAACTGAGTCCCCAGGGTTGCAAACGGCCAACGTGCTCCACTGCTAAGCAAAAGGCTGTAGGTTTGAGTTCAACCAAAGGCGCTTCAAGAAAAGCCCGGCCGTCTACTTCCAAAATCAGCCACCGGAAAGCTCTAAGAAGCACATTCCACCCTGACACACAAGGTGTCACCACGAGTGGATGCCATTAGTCGTTCACACAATCGCAACGGGTTTGGTTTAATGAGCAGAAAGGTAGAAAATACAGCATTCGAGCTGAAAGAGCTATTTTAAATTGTATGAAGTCATATATTGCCAGCTCTTTTGTGTTTTTTCACCAAAAGCACTCTGCTGGGACCATCCCAGTCCTGTTTTGAGTTTTTAGCCTGCGAGTTCCTTGACAGCAGAGTGCGCGCTAAGCAGCTCTCTCCCCTACCAGACCGATAGTTGTCTAATAAAAGATTTTTGCCTCGAATTGGACACTTTGGGCTACTTTTTGACCTTTGACCTCGCCCCAGAGGGAGCTTTGAGGTAAGGGCTCTAGAAGGCGCCCCCAACGCCCGGAGCCGCAGTTCAAGCCCACGAGTTCTGAGCCTACTCTACCCGCCCTCGGAGGTGGCGGTTAGCGCTCGCGTCGGAAGACCCCAACCCCGAAAGGCTCGGAGGTCAACGCCCCAGCCTCGCCTCCCCTTGCCTACGTCCCGCCCCCTCCCGGTGACGGGCGCATTCGCAGGCCAAAGAACAAGCCATATCCACCTACGGGGCGGGGCCAACCGAGAGCCAATCCCCGCTCGGGCTCCCGCCCGGGTCCAAACGGACCAATGGCCAACCGCAGTGGGGCGGGCTGCCGGGCGAGGCCTACCTCTGTAGCCAACGAGCGCGCACGTCGGCGGCACCAGGGGGCGTGGCCTGCGGCGGGGCGTGCGCGGCGGCGGCGGCGCTGGGAGGGGGAGGGAGGTAAACAAGATGGCGGCGGCGTGTTGGGCGCGGAAGGGGGAGGCGGCCCGGGGCTCCCGCTAGTGA